CCTGTTTTACGGATCTCATTGTTCACTTTGATTCAGTTTATATGTACAAAAGCCCATAACAAGGATAGTCTTTTCCTATAAACACATAAATTAGTTGGAATAAATAATATTGATCACTGGTTTGCATGAATGTGTTCTTGTGTTCAATGTACTGCTGTGCCATCAACACTGATGTTATGGATTGAAATAAAATGATCAAATCCACTCTTGATCAGAAATCTCAGATGAGAAGCTGAAGTAACAGGAATCTAAAGAGGAAAGACACAAACAAAACTGTCATCTAAGTTCACTCAGCCTGAGCTAATGAGCAACCAGTGGCCATGTAATGGCCAGCAGGCCAAGTCACTTAAAAGGTTTGAAGATAACTTATTGACTGAGAGTGAGGTATTTACAGGAAAATATCAGACCAAGACCTTGCCATATTGACCGGGCAATAGCCTAAAGACCGAATGTTTGAGGTTAATAAGTTGCTTATTATACGGCTTTTTACTTAAGTTTTGCAGGCCCGCAATCAGCTGTGGGCATTATAGGAGAATAACGCCCTAGAATTAGCCGACCAGAGCACACATTAATTTTGTTAACTACAAACACGTGCTAATTTACAAAGATATGACTGATCATCACAGTTATACACACAACTTAAGTAGTTGTGAAATTAAAGTCTGAAAAAAATTCAGGCCTGAACGGGATTCGAACTCATGACCTCTGCGATACCGGTGCAGTGCTCTACCAACTGAGCTATTAAGCCAAGTGGGAGCTGGTCAGGTTGTGAGTTCCTAATATACCTGTAGATGGTGAAGAATACAAGTGAATTCTTCACGTGCTAATTTAATGTAATATGGGCTATTGACCATCATGAGGTCCAGATGCATGGATATTGATGAACTTTTAGGAATGTTCATGGACCGAGGCGCCATTGAGGTCCATAAACACACAGAAAGGATCGATGCTATAGCTGGTATCCGCTTGAAATGTTACGCATTTGATAATTTTAACATCCCACAGGCCCACTATACCTGTATCTCATCCCTCTGCATTTGACCTTCTGTATGTTCATACTCTGGAATAGAATTAATGTTTTCAATCTTCTACAATAATACTCAAGTTGCAAAAATATAATGTCCCCTGCATAATAATTAT